GAAGAAAGTTTTGACCTTTTAGCACTAAAAGCGAAACTAATTTTGGATAGATTTGGTACGTATAAACATTAATGCCTTCTTTTGGCAAAGAATTTAAGTGAAAATATTATAATCTTTATTTAGTAAAATTTAAATTTGAATGTTATATATCATATAAATCGAAGTTATTTGACATTAGTTTCGCTTGTAAGATTACTTTTAAGAAGCTTCATAAAAATATTTACTTGGACTTATCGTTAAACTGCGGCACATATGTGCACATATGATTTGCATAAAACGTGATCACATATGCACATATATTCACATCACATATTCCCGGCCACTCTAGTACGTACGTACGTACGTACGTACATACATATTTATACATGCTTTGTTATATACAGTGTTTAAGAAATTTTCACAACAATAAATGCATGTAGGAGCTAAACGATTCATGCATGTTGACAAAAAGTCAACTGATCGAAAAGACAGGAGAGAGCGGTCAGGGTTACACGCCACGTGCTACAACTCTGCCCCGATAACGTAAGTCGGGATCGAAGAGACATCAGACCACATCGCGATTCATGCGAACGTATCTACGTAACAAAAAAGCCACCAACCTCAATCATATAAAAGCGACGAATAAATCAAGTTTCTCAACTTTCTCCTCTTTCCCCTTGCAACACAACTAAGCATTATAGCCGTCATTTTCTCGACCCAACCCTTCCCACCACACACAGGGGAACACTCTCCTGATTCTGCCATTTTCCTATTTAACAGCCGGCCTGCTTCGAGCAGGCGGGAAACCACCGGCTGATGCTGCTTCTCACTCATTCTACTGTTACGATGATACCTGGGCGCAATCTCACTTGCTAATTTTCCCGGGAGCATATCATCGTTTCAGTTCAAATTACTCAGCTCAAATTACTCAGTTCAAATTACTCACAATGTATTCTGCGGACTTAAAGTCCTTTAATTGAATTTATTTCCGGCTCCTTTGGCTAGCCGGCATTCTTCCAATCACATGACCAATCGTACCTATGCTTTTCGATAATTTTTTAAGAAATTATGCAGTGGCTATGGTGCAGATCAGCTGATCCGGACTTTTGGGGGTCGCCCTGGCGAACTCATGCAATACTGACATATCAACATGTGCTTTTATGTTTCTCGCATTTGTTTGCATAAAAATGCCTCCTGTATGTTAATGAAAGGATTTTCTTATGAAATTTTTGGTACGTATAATTACATATCTCATATTTCCAATAATGCTATATTGCAATGGTATGGCATTAATGTAGCACAGTTAGCCTTACTTGGTGCAACTCATGGACCAGACTTTTACAGTTTGTATTTAGAGAATAATGATAAAATTTGATTTACGGGAGTCTAATAATATTTGGTTCGGAATTAATAGTTGCGTTTGGGGGATATTGCATTCAATTTAAGGTGATTGCAATTGGAGAGGTCTGACTGCATTATGCATTGATAAGATTAGAATTTAGAATAATGATGGGTTACGAAATATTCGTCGTTGATGTATGACCGAATATTCGTCGTTGATGTATGACGAAATATCATCGTTGATGTATGACAAATATTGATGAATGACGAAACTAGAGTTGGGAACCTAAACCTTTTTTCTTGAACCTAAAGATTTCGGGTTTTGGTTATAACTATCGAAACTAGTTATGTGCCATTTATATGATATCTGAATTTTTTTCGCGTACAGTACGTATAGTTGTATAGTGTGTATAACATACGTAATATCCGTAATACACGTAGCATTTGTAAATCAGTTATATGTAACATTTTGCAAGGAACAATTCTTGTTAGAGTGCAAAAGACAGTTTCATAGTCAAAAATTTGAGATAGGGATACTTTAATGATTTATTTTAGAATATTCTAAAAAAATTTTTGCGTACTGTCCTGTACGCGATACATCTCTAATCGAAACCCTAAACTGATTCAGAAATTCCAAGCTAATATCAAACTTCAAACCAATGCCGAAATTCAAAACCAATGCTAAATCCCATACTAACCTGGTTTTCCTAAAAAATCGATGTATAAAACCATAAGATTTTGAAGCGAAAGAAATTTGAATCAGAATAAACTAAATAATTTTTGGTACAAATTATTCTACTAACCTAATAAATTGATAAAGAGGCTACTAAGGTTTCAGATGTGCTAATAGATTTGTTCAGGCTATTCTGGAATACAAATATTACGCGTTGAACTTCTTGTTAGTAAGGACTGGCGAAAGTAACAATAACTTCTATCTTTAAAGAAAGCCTCATGTTATTATTACTGTTCATATACCTACTAGTATTGCCAATATTATATATATTATTTGTTCTTAGTCTTTCTGCATACTTCACTGAATCTAGAAAAAAAGAAGAAAATTCTATAATTTCACTATATAATGCCTGCTAAAGTATCTATAAATTAAAGAAGCATAATTTGTTTTTATTTTTCCGATTGCTATATACTTATCTGAACACTGTATGAATTATTCCTGCACGATGAGTAGCTAGGTATGGTTCTAAATCAAACTACTAACTTATATAAAAGGCAAGTAGATTGGTTCGCGTTATGGGTCCGCTGGAAGCTAAAGTACTTGACTATAACATATTAGATCATAAATGCTGAACTATCGAATACCTTTATATTGCTATAAATCATTCATATAATTCTCTATATAATTTATCAAATCATGGGAATTTAATTAGCATGCGACGTACAATTTGTATCTTAAAAGTTGTCATTCATATAGGCCTTATACTTACTGTTAAAATAAAAATCGTCAAATTTTTAGTTAATATACGTTTATGCCTTAGAATCTGTTTTTCTGATGTTTAAAAATTTTGCACTGAGGTATAAAAAGTAATTTTTTTCGTTGATATCTGAATCTTGAACTATCATTGCTACTTTTACGTTTTTTATTTTCCAAAAAGCACCTGATTTTTTAGAGTTTTATATAAAATAATTGATCGCAATTTGGAATATTCGCATAGCACCCCGAAAATGTGTACCAGGTTTGATAGTTCGGAATGAATATCCGGAGAAATTTTTGAAGTTTGATTTAGACACGGTTAATTACATATATTTATTTCATTAATTATGTACTTCGCGCAAATATTACAATACATAATAATACGTATACATTTATAAAAGATTAACAACTTTTACATTATTAATTTTGTTTATTCACGTTAATGTTTTTTGATAAATTATGCATTTTTTTTCCGGAAGTTTTTCTTTTATTAGTTGGTCTGCTCGACATTTTCTTGAGAAATCTTATGCTTTCTTCGTTGTACTGATGCTGGTTGTGCTCGAATTTTTGCTTCACATCGTAATGATTCAGCCTTTATAGTAGAATTCCGTTCATAAAGACAAGAAGCCAGTTTTCCCAATTATAAAGATTCAGTCTTTTCATATTCATAAAATTTTTAATACCATCAAATAGTTGTTCATATACTGTGTCTTTTCTTCTCGAAAAATAACCTTATTACTTTATTTTCTTTGATAATAAAGGTTTGGTTAGTTGCATAGTGGTCTTTGATATTTTCTGAAATTCGCTTAATCGATTTAAGGTACCTTCGTTACTGTTAAGATCCACATATAAACTACATTCAGCTGCCCAATAATCAAACTTTATAAGTATTATTGGGTGAAAATTTTCTTGGAGTAGGTAAATCAGCAAAATTGAACGAATCGGGTTGTACTTTTATTATTATTTGTTATGCAACGAAGTGTGAAGCGAAATATGAAGCAAAATATGAAATGTGAAGCGAAGTGTGAAGTGAAATATGAAGCGAAATATGAAGTAAAATATGAAGCGAGGTATGAAATGAATTAATAAAGAAACGAATTAACCTTGAAAATAACGATAATTACTTATTATATAGTTTAGTATAGCGATAGTTTATTTAATTAATCGATGTTATAATTAATGATTGTTTGGATCATTTGGTTTGATTTCTGGACCTAGTACACATTTTTGATTTGCAATAAAATAGCTGTGTGACACCATCGTACTAAAACCAGAAACATCGATAATGATTTTGTAATTGTATATATTAGTTCTTTAATATGTTATAATTAGACATAGCAATTGAATTAATCGGGAAAAAACAAGAAATTCTTTATTTATATTGTTATAAAATAGAAGTGCACCACAATTCGTATGGGTGGATATTTTTAATAGGACATTAAAATTAGGTGATATAATAGAATCACATATCAATTAATGTGCTGCCCTCTAGAAAATAATAATATGTTTGTAGTTTCACTCTATCAAAATATCAATAAGTAAATAATTAACCAATCAAATAATCATACAGTTTAATTTTAAGTTTTTTATAGGCCATTCCATAAAGGTTTCATATGTGATTCATGATATTTATAAGCAAGTAAAAAAATCAATAAATAAAACTAGTCAATAAAATATATAAATCTTAGTGAATACAGCATATTATATAAATAATTGGATAAAAATTTATGAAATAAAATTTTAATTAATTTTTAATAGTCACTAAATCAAAAAATTTCGCTCATATATTCACTAATTTATGATTATTTTGAACTTGTCAAATCAGAATATGTAATATTTTTTCGATCTTTTAAATAGTAAGATCTAATGAATCCTTTATATCTTTGAAAGATTTTTATATTGAGGGGTTTCAGAATTAAAAAAAAATAGCATATTTCGAAAATAAGTAGGAGCTTAAAAAATCTTATTTGCATATCAAAATTTTGAAATCGGAAAATGAAATGGGAGTGTTTAGAGTAGTGATGGGCAAGGTAATAAATAAGTAATATTTTACTTATTTTTTGTCCCTTACTTATCAGTAGTAATTATTACGTATTGTGAAGATTACAGTGTGATTATTACTTATTACGTAAATATGTAATATTTGATGATTATTAATCAAATACGTAGTGATAATTTTTTTTTATAATAGTTACCTCAAATTTAAAAAATTATCCTAACGATAATTAATAATAAAAATTGATATTTTTCTATGTCGAATTGGCCTTCTCCAAATCCAGAAATACAGCATTTGTTGCGTAAGCTTCCAAATGGATCTGCTGGTCACCCTCCGGGTCCACTTTGGCAAGCCTTTAATCCAATTAAAATTGATAAGGATAAAAAACCTAAAGCTCGTTGTATATTTTGTAATCCTGAAAAACCCATATCTGGTACTGCAGCGATCATGATTTCACATATTAAAAAATGTGAAAATGTTCGAACTTACCTTATTAATGCTTACAGCTTTCAACAATCAGTTCATTCCAAGCATAACCAGCAAGATATTCGTCGATTTTCATCAGATACATCGATTACACCTTCTATGTCGATTTCAAATCATAGTTCTATTTTAGACCTTTCCAATAATAATATACATAATGAATTTTATTCAAATACTAGTCAAATGCCTACACAGTCATCAGTTGATATATGCAAATCAAATCAACTATTATTAGAGGCTATTATCGAAGGTGGTGCACCTTTTTCATTTGTAGATACACAAAAATTCTGGGAATTTGTTTATTCTATCAATAATTGGTATCATGTTCCAGCCAGGAAACAGCTTTCTAATAATATTCTTGATGGTGTTCATGAAAATGTTAAAGCCTCGATTCAACAATTTATTTGTAAATCAAACTGGATCACTGTTGTAACAGACGGGTGGACAAATATTCGGCAAGACCATCTTGTGAATTTTGTTGCTATTGGAAAAAATCGTAGATCAGAACTTGTTAAGATTAAAGATACATTAGGAGAAAGTCAAACATCAACTGTTATACTTAAAGATTTAGAGGAAGTTTTAATGCAAATTAGTATTGAAAAGATTAATGCCGTTATAACAGATGGTGCTGCGAACTATATTCGTATGAAAAATATGCTTGTTCAAAAATATCCCAAAATTGTAGCTTTACCGTGTACTGCACATGAATCAAATCTTTTGGTTTGTGATTTATTAAAGCACACATATATGAAGTTAACCATAAGTTTAGCTATTAAAATTATTGTATTTTTTCGAAAAAGTACACAAGCTATTCAATACATTCGTGCTTGTTCTAATGATAATACATTTAGATTT